TCGTAATCGTGCAATTTCCGGGTGCATCTCTGAATTGCCTGGCTTAACTCTCTTTTATGGCTGGTATTAATACCTTCGAATACTGCTAATAATTTGCAAAAATTGTTTTAGTAATAAATATTAATGCTAATTCCACGATGAAATAATTAGAACAGCTGTAATGTTTAGGACAAATTAACAATTTGACTAATTTGGATAATTTCTGTTTACATAATAAGATAAATTTGCTTAAATCGCATCTGTGCCTAAATTAAATTATTTCGATTTAAAAATGTTTATTGCAATCTCGTATAAAATGTAACTACAATTGACATATAATGTTAATTATTGTTTACATTTTATAGCGTAAAGAGCTTATATAAGTTTTAAATCGAAATTGTATCTATAAGGTATGATTTAAGCAAATTATCCTATTTATTTTCGAATGTACTTGTTATTTGTATCGCCAATTGGTTAGGCCTAATTACTAAAATTGGATTAGAGGCCAATTGCCCAGTGGAACGTGGTCACCATTGACGTCACGATCATGCGTAGCGGTATTAGATATCACCTGTATTTTGATCCAAGGAATCAAACTTGTCAGATATCATCTAATCTTTGTTTCACGCGATATCTTCATATTTAAATCGATTATTCCGTATGATTAAAATACGCGGCTTTCTATCTATAAATATTTCAATGATATTATCTCTTCGATTTATACATGATTCGGCACGAATTCTCTTCGCGCGAGAATTACAATCCATACTATTAGATTAATCGATTTCTAAGTCTATAATCTTAAATCAAATTGATATCCTGAAGTATTTTGCATTTTGCGAGTCATTGCACGATCGTACAGTTGCAATATTGTTCGATGGAATTACGCGATGCATATGCGCATCTGTACTCATATTTATATCGTCAATAAATTCTAAAGATGTTGCCAAAATTGTAATATTGTATATCATAGTTATAATTAAGATCATTGACACTCCGATCAATTATTGAGATTCGATTATCTCTGTCGCTCGATCTCATTTTATAAGATAATTGTTAAGATAACATGTATATATTTCTCTAAAAAGAGATGAAATTATCGTAAAATTATCTTGATAAAGAAATCACTCGTCACATTTATCGATATTTTTACTCGTTATTATTTTCTGTCTATCTACTTAAGACAATTCGCACGATAACGTATGTGACTGATTATTGAGGGTTGATGAAAGTATAATATATATTATATAAATTTGAAGCAGATAAATAGAAGCGGATAAATGAACCGTGTCGAATATATGAGTGAATACATAAGATTTTGAGAATATTAAATTTATCAAAAGAGTGAAAACGTACATTAATGGTGGCGAATAAATAACAGGTGTGATAACATCTCGTGCCAAGTATATTTTTACGCGAAATCACATTGTATAATAAATAAATCTTATACGTACTTCGTAATCTAAATTTGAGATTTTTTTGAAAGAAGTGATATTATACAGACAATGAAAACAATGTTCCAATGAGCTTTATTTATAATTAAATAAAAAAATTAAAATTAAAAATTAATAGCGCCCATATAAAAAGAATCAGGTTGTAAGTTTATTAAAATCTTTTAGTATAATGCTTAATAGTGATAATGTTTCGATCTTAGTTTTTAGATTATTCTCGATCAACATATATACAATCTAGGGGAAATTTTTAATTTCATTTCATAATTAAAATTAATACCGTAACTACTATAATGAACTATTATAATGATTTTATAATCTTTTTTCGCATTTTATAAGTGAATTAATTTTTTATGCTGATCATAATCTTAATTATTGATACACTTGTAAACAAATTAATTTGTAATTGTAATGTTTTCATTTTAACGTTCGCTATTTAGACAAACATTTAAAGATAAATTGGCTTTTAATTGTTTATCACAAATAGAACTGACAACTTTGTTTTAGAAAACACATCTACTCGATCACATTAACTCTGAACTTTTATCTTCAATATCTAATTTAAAAAGGTCTCTATTTCTGATTATATTTCCGACTCTGATAATTTAAAAATGGTCATAGAAGCATCAATTGAAACTACTATACCAACATTGAGGATTATTCAAGGATTATTCAAGTAAATCACATTATTTGACTTTAAGATGTTAATTCACTTAAAGATTATAAAACGCGTTCAATTATAGTAGTTACGATGTTACAAACTTACAACCTGTGTCGACTTTCTGTGAGCATTATTGATTTTAATTTTTGATTGACAAACAGTTTGCGATAAAAGATATGGGAAAACCAGGACGTCTATCAGATGAATTTACAACATTAGGTGATACGTTGCAGCTTATTCGACAATAAACAATAGGATTTCGCCCTGTTGACGTTGGCTGGGCAATGCTAAAAATAAGGATTTTGACTGTTGCCAAATTTCAACAAATATTCTGCTGAGCTTTGAAGCAGACATTCACGAGACGTCGCTGTTTAGTTTGCATTTGTGTGCACGCACGCACAGTTGCATAGGATTATTTTGTTAAAAAAAAAGGAATTCTTCAAAGCGGTTGTGAAAGTTCGCACAGACGTTATCGCAATTTTATTGCAAGTCGTTAAATTCGGACAGAAATTTGTGCAAATAGAAATGTGACAGACTCAAACTTTATTATGCTGGATATATAAGCCAAATTAAAATATAAAGCTTAAAAAAATTTGTTATTAGTGGATTAATATTAATCAACGAAATGTTTTTTTGGATAACGTTTGAAGAAAGTAAATCAGATGATGGAGAATTTATGAATTTGTTAGTGTGGAAAAAACAAAGCAGATTTCTGTGCATATTAAACAATTTATAATAAACAATTTAACAAATTTACGTGATTTAAAAATATATTGCTACTGGGAATTTATTAAATAGCAAAGAAAGTAAGTGATGTAAAGTATTTTTAGTATTTTTCTGTTATTTTGTTTGATTAAATTCTTATTTTACTTAGTATCCTAAAAATAACTATTGCATAAGAATGCGCAAAAAACGAAGAATAAAAATTATAAACATCAAAATTATTGGATTTTGGGATTTATCGAGTTTCAAAAATTTTAATGACTCAATGACTCTGACTAGAACTCAATTACAATAAGGCAAGATTGATAAGAGATGTTTTTTTTTTTAAGAATAAAACATTGTGTTTTTAATGCATACTTTAAACAGTATACTTAAACAGTACTTTAAATATGCTTTAGACAGTAAAAAAAACATGTTTAAACGTGTTAAAAATATCGATTAAGCGTTTTAAATAATTTATATGATTTTTATCAACCCTGCAATGAAGTGATAATTTTTGATTTTAACCAAATAAAACATCTTTTATTATTAATGACGGACAGATGTGAGTTTTCCAAGGAAAAAAATCAGGATTGTTTGTGCACTACACTGTATTGTGTAGCGGAACTTCAGATTGTAGATTAAAAAAATTTGCGATTATTTGGACGAAATGGAGGAGAAGTCGATGAAAGACACATCCTCGGACTTAAATTCGAATTATCACGAGCTGAATTATCCGAGTGATGAATCTTCGATGCAATCCGTGAAAATCCTTGCCCAGCTCTCTTTGCCAACTTTGGTTTTGAACAGGGCATACTTTGTCTGTAACGACAGCTATCTTGTAAGTACACCCTCACATTTTAACTTCACCATGTTTTTTCGCGACAAGGTAGGTTTTCTATTGAGACTCTTTTGTCGCGAGAGCGCACAGTTTTCCCGGCATTATGGCCATTACGAACAATTTCGTATAATTATATTCTTGAGGCTGTTTCTTGCGTGATAGTTCGTTATGTATATATATCGCTACTTGTATAAAAAAAATAATAATATCAGCATGTAGACAATCATGACATATGCTTGATGAAATGACATTTATGCAACAACATAATTTTAGCGTGTATTAACTTTCTTTTTTTTGTAGTTATATTAAATTAACAAATAAACATATCCAACGACATTTGGAAAAAATGGTACAAACTAATCGGTCGTTAACCATCGTTTCGTAGACCATCGATTATATCACTATGATCAGTGGGATTCTCTAACATCTTATCAACAATTATCACTATCGTTAACTAAAGCGTTAGTCAATGAGAGCGCTTTCTTCCAAGATTATTCTGCCATTGGCTGTTGTTAGTTAATGATAGGAACAATCGATAAGACTTTTAGAGGATCCCCGCTACTGCAGTATGTTAGAAAATTTTTTATCATTTTATTAATCTGTTAAGAATCACATTACAGACATGGCCCGTTTTGTAAATTAGATAACCGTTTATTTTGATAGATAGTATATACCATATTTATACCGTATGGTATCAGAGATGATTTTCATATCAGTTTTAAGACGGTTGTTTTAGTGTTATATTATCGGTAAAAAAAAGGAAAGTTCTTTTTTCTAATATTTCTCCGTTGATTAGTATCATAAGAAAGTACTTAAATCAATTGACAACTTCTAATTGCGGATCTAATTGGCAACAACTTCGATTATTGTCAGAAGCAAGCTTATCGAAATTGAGTATTTTTTTCAGATAATAAGTACGTATGATAATAAGTACACTGAAAAAATAATGTTATATCAATAACATTATTTTAAATAATTTCGAAATAATTCGAAAATAATTTTGTTAACATGCCGTAACATTATTAATGTAACAAACATTCTTCTGTTTTATTAAAATTTTATTTGTTTTATTACACCGTTATTGAATCAACAAGATTATTTTCAATTAAAATAATGCTGTTAATATAACATTATCTTCTTTTAGTATACATAAAACACAACATTCGAAGGATCGACAAGAAAATCTCACAATATTCGAAACATTTGAGAAAAAAGAATGAACAATATTAAATTATGCAAACGATACTGATTGTATTTTTTTTTTAATTTTTCGAAAAGGTAGTCTAGTCTAGAATAGCACGTGTCCAAATTGATTGATAGAAGGATACTCAGTATTTTTGAGATCCAATGGAATATCGAATTTAATGATAAATTATGCGAAGAGAAACGATGTGATTAACAGAATGCGATACGCTAAATTATAGTGAATTATAGTCATTTTAATATTTAATTGACAATTACTATATGCAACTATTATTAATAATATATATGCACTATTACTATACTTATTAACAATACATAATTTTTCTGCATCATGCTTGCATGAAATTTTTGATTGATTTAAACATTATTATAACTTTATAAAACATAATACACGCGCGCGAGCATAGCTATTGTGTCTAAAAATATCTACTTATAAATTATTTATAAATAATTAATTATCTTTAAGTAATATTTTGCAAATGCTATAAGAAAACTAAGAATGGAGGAAAATTTGGATTACATTTTGGTGTAAATTTATAGAAAATGCGATATAAAAATCATAATAAGATAAAAATTATATTTTGCTATATTATATTGAATCTCACATTTAATTCGAATTATGGACCGTCCAAAGTGGGCTCAGAATTCAAATGAGCAAGTCTGACGTCTCTCGTCTGCGCATGAATCGATTAATTAACAACTGAACATTCAAAATGATGCGAAACCAACTACCTGCAGATGTATGGTCGCTATACGAAGGATCTGGGTGAGTACGCGAAGGAAGAGGCACGCAAACTCAAATATCAAGAAAAAGCGAGACGAAAATATGATAAAACAAGGGCCGAAGATCTACGGAAATCGAGGCGAGGTCCTTTGTGCCGGAAGCTATTGGCTCTGCTGGCCTTCATCTGGAAACATACCGGCGCCCGGCTAGGCGAGGACTGGATTTTCCTTGCCCTCCTCGGTATTATTATGGCTCTCATCAGTTATGCCATGGATCGTGGAATTTCCATGTGTAATAACGGTCAGTCTACTTTGCTTTTGGAAATATAAATTTCATCCCCAAACAAAACATTTTAAATAATTATTACATTTGTTATACGAGAATATTTACAGAATTTGTTGATATCGAACAATATTAACAATATTAACAAATTTTATATATATATTTTCTAATTCTAATAATGCAAATGGTAATACAGATAGATTTAATTAAAAGGGCTAAAAGAGTTTCGCAAAAGTATTAGAAGTTAACGTAAAGTCTTTAATATTGACATTGATATATATAGCACATTAACGATAATCTCGTTTCACCAGCCAGGATATGGCTCTATCAGGATCTTACAACGCATCCGGCTTTCAAGTACCTAGCCTGGGTGTCCATGCCAGTGTGCCTTATTCTCTTTAGCGCTGGCTTCGTGCACATTATTGCACCTCAAAGTATAGGCTCGGGCATCCCAGAAATGAAGACCATTCTACGCGGTGTGGCGTTGAAAGAATATTTGACTTTTCGTACTTTGGTTGCCAAGGTTAGTTATTCACGAAACAATTTAATCTATACTCGTAAAAGCTTAAGAAAATTAATTAAGAACAAGAGCGCGTACACAATCAAAGTTGAACTACAACTTTCTTAAAATTTATAAAAGAACGCAATAATCCTGTAAAAGGGAGACAGAGATAATAAAGATCGTGATATGCCAAAGGTGATCGGCTTGACGGCAACTTTAGGCTCAGGATTGCCACTCGGTAAGGAGGGTCCATTTGTGCACATCGCCAGCATCGTCGCAACGCTCCTCTCCAAATTAGTCACGAGCTTCCAGGGCATCTACGAGAACGAGAGCAGGAATTGTGAGATGCTGGCCGCGGCTTGCGCGGTGGGTGTCGCTTCCTGCTTTGCAGCCCCAATCGGTGGCGTCCTCTTCAGCATCGAGGTCACCACAGTGTATTTCGCAGTCAGGAATTATTGGCGTGGTTTCTTCGCCGCAGTCTGCGGTGCTACGATGTTTCGTCTACTGGCAATCTGGTTTCAGCGCGAAGAGACCATCACAGCGATGTTTGCCACCAATTTCACTATGGAGTTCCCTTTCGATCCACAAGAGCTCCTCGTCTTCGCCCTGATCGGTGTTGGCAGCGGGCTATTGGGCGCCTTTTACGTCTGGCTACATAGGCAATATGTGATCTTCATGCGGAAAAACAAGAGCATGAACAGCTTCTTACAGAAGAAGTAAGTCATTCGAAGTCGCATATCGAAAATTCTAAAAATCGTCACAACACGAATTTCTTTTACAATCATTTTGAGTTTGTGATCAAGAAATAATTCGTTAATTTCAGTCGTTTTCTGTACCCCGGCATTGTATCTCTGATAGTCTCATCTGTGTCATTTCCCGTCGGGCTCGGCCAATTCATGGCTGGTGATCTGAACACGCACGATCAAGTTTTCGGGCTTTTCACTAACTTTACTTGGACCAAGGAGAATCTCAGCGTCGAGGAGATGAATATCGTGAAGCATTGGTCGACATCATATACCGATGTCTTCAGTGGACTTTTCAGTTTTGTTTTATTCACTGTAAGAAAATGACTTTTTTTCGCATAATTACTCGATCGCGATATTCTTAAATAGATTATATAATAAGAACAGATGAAAATGGAAGAAACGAACTTCGGTTTCAGTTCATCTTTTCAATTATAAGTTCAACGGTACCGGTACCATCTGGAATTTTTATTCCCGTATTCAAGATTGGTGCTGCGCTAGGCAGAACGGTTGGTGAAGCCATGGCTCTTTGGTTTCCCACTGGTGTACGTTATGGCGGAGTAATTACACCCATTGTACCAGGTATCTTAAATTAAATATTTATAATTATTTATTGATGATTGATGATTCTTATTATATTGAACTGAAATATAAAAAAAATTATTTTTTATTAAAATATTTGAAAAATAACTTATTGCGAATAATTGATGTTTCTTAAACGTGTAAGCATTTTAAAAAATTCATGAGTTCATACTAGGTACGTGAGGTAATTTTAACCGAATTTAAAGAGGAAAGCAAATTAAGGGAAGAATTAGATTTATGTCGTGAAATTGTTTCATTTAGGTGGATATGCCACAGTGGGCGCGGCTGCGTTCTCCGGCGCGGTGACGCATACAATATCCGTTAGTGTCATCATTTTTGAGATGACCGGTCAGATCACACATATTGTACCCATAATGATAGCAGTGCTGATCAGCAATGCCATCGCCGCGCTCTTACAGCCTAGTATATACGACAGCATCATTCTTATCAAGAAATTGCCTTACTTGCCTGATCTACTTCCATCCAGTTCAGGTAGGTATTTTCTCCGTTTTATGATGACTTATCTTCTTTTCAATTAACTGAATTTATATTGTTATTTCGTAAAGCGTTTCGTTCGGAATAAATAAAAAGGTAATTTTATGACTTGTCACAGATTTTACGCAACCGAGGAAAAGGTGGTAAAAAAAATTAATTGTTGTAGGAATGTACAATGTTTACGTGGAGGATTTCATGGTCCGCGATGTCAAATACATATGGCATGGTATTAGTTATCAGAAACTGAAAGACATATTAAAAGAAAATCGCAAGCTTCGCGGATTTCCATTGGTGGATAATCCGGACTCCATGATTCTACTTGGATCGATCCAGCGATTAGCACTAGTCAAACTTATCGAGAAGCACATCGGTCGCGAGAGAAGATTGCAGGTAGGATTCCAATACCTTGGAAGTTCATTCGCGATTTTATTTTTCGTTTCTATATATCATCGTCGACATTCTAGGTTGCACAAAAATGGCACAAGGAGGCGGAGGAGAGAGCACGCGAAGAAATAGAACGACAGCTGAGGGAGCAGGAGAGGACGAGAAGACCTTCGAGATTTGAGGTCATCCCGGCACCGGACATTCTCAAGATGCAGAGGCAGAGTGTTAATGATCTAACGATGTCAGCAAACAACGGCAGCGGTCCCGATCATGTGAGTTCTCGCAAGTGTTCGTGTGGTTGACTTTGACGTCAATTGTGGTTGTTCCTCTCTTTGTATATCACTCTCCTCGATGTAGATTAATATTTGTAATATTTTTTTTGCATTTCTTAGCATACGTTCCATTCACCGGTGTTTGGATCGCAACCGAAAAAGTCAATTTTGAAGAAGACTAATTCTTTCACTCTTAAGGGATTCAGCCCGTTAGTAAGTCCGGCGGTGACACCTTATACGACAGTTACAGGCGCGGAAAGCAGGTGAATCGCTTCATTATCTTTAACTTCAACAATTTTTCATATAATACAAAATATAATATAAATAAAAATAATATTTTATACAGTAATCTATTGTACATTTTATAAAAAAAACATACATTATCGGTCTTTTTTGTTTTATTTTTTTTTTAAGCGTCTTAAATATTTTAATAAGTTTTAGAATAGTAAATAATAAGGAATGGAACATGGAAGAATAATTATTAATATATCGCAGAATTCGTTTGGCGTTCGAGGCGATCTTCCGTAAGTCCGCCACGTTGCAAGACGTGGATCCTGATCCGGAGTTGGGTACCAGAGGGAGTCAAGATGTCATGAACGTGCAGTCTCATACGCCCATGCTGGCCCCAAGTCCGGCGACATCGAAGAAAGTACAATTGGTGAGCAAATATAATTATTTCCTCTAAATACAGTGTCTAAATAACACATTTGCATATGTTAATCAGCCTCGAGAGAGAGTGATAGACATGTCGGCCGAAGATCAGAAACGATGGGAGGAAAGCGAGATGGCACTCGAGGTAGATTTCTCGAGGTGTCATATTGACCCAGCTCCTTTCCAGCTGGTCGAAAGAACGTCCTTGCTCAAAGTGCACAGCCTCTTCAGTATGGTCGGTGTGAATCACGCTTATGTAACGGCTATCGGCAGGCTGGTCGGAGTAGTTGCGTTGAAGGAGGTATGGTTCACGATGGTACAATTCTTCAGGCAAGACACTTAAAAATTAACGAATAGTCGTCTTGATTGAGGGATGAAAATTATAAACTCTAATTTCATTAATAAAATTATACATGGATTTTATCTTGCAGCTCAGGAAAGCCATTGAGGACGCGAACGCTGGTATCCTGCCGATGCATCCTGAATCACACATTGCTGAGTCGCTCTCGAGCCTGGCGAGAAGCGAGACGGACACGGAGAGCAACAAAAACATCAACACGATAAACTCTATAAACTCCGTGGATTGCGAGAAAGTGGACAAAGTCTGAGGGTTTTGCCGTGTCAAAATCGAAAGCAAAAGCTTATATTGTGATAGCCGCGTCGCCATAATCGCGTGATGCGGCCCAAATAATGCGAGAGCCGTGTTTTATCTAATTTTCCTTTATTCCTTCCTTGTTTCCCCTTTCACGCGTTTCGAGAGCGACGGAGTCGTTATGTGCGAGTAACGCGTAATGATATTCTCTCAAACACATCTCTCGTACTTAAGCCTTAAGGTGAGCGAAATAATGAAAGTCCCAAGACAAGACGCGAATGCGCGAAATAGTATTAAGCGTTGCAGTTCCGTTTCGGAATTTCTTATTTCGTTCTAACATAATGTTATGTGAAATGCGATCCCTGATAGTATCCACATTCATATACGCGGATTATTTTTATCGGATAGATAGATATATTCGCACATCGAGATTCGTTTCTTAATGGATGATTTAAATCGTTTTATTTGGAAACCTCGTGAAACACGTATGTTTTTTCGTTATACATTTTATTAGAATAACATTTGCACGATACAAGAACACGCGCGAAGTCTGGACTGGAATCAGATGGATTTTCGTATTCTTGGTATCGAGTTGAGAGTACCTTTATGAAATATGCTGAATCGCGAATTTATCGTTTCTATCGACAAGCGACAAGGTAAGTTTTTTAAATGGCTGAACGGATCTCTCGATGGAGCGAAAGTGATTTGTAGTGCCAAAAGCAGCCACGCTGCACTTTCCCGCGTAATAAAACGTGCATAATTGGACCTAATATAATATGATATCGATATACGAGATCATTTAGAGTTTCTACGCTGACGCTCCTTCAGCTAATAAGTATCTGACCATGGTTGTGCCAGACTATTATTTATTAATCGTTAACTATTGTCAATTTTAAGTATACAAGAAGATCGTCATGTTGTAGATTGAACTTAGCAAGAAAATGCGGACAATTCTCTTTCATTCTTCATGATACTTAATTTAGAAACAACCGGGAAAAATTCCCATTGGATTTCTTCTAAAAACTAGCTCATGTTTATTTTTACAGGACGCGTTTAGAAATTATTCAATTTGAAAATCGAGTGCGATTTTTGATTATCATTAAAAATTCTTTAGTAAATTTATTCAAGATATGTATTCTAACAATCGAAAATCGCATTTCGGATGTATCAGAATGAAGAGTATTTTCTTGTAAAAAAATTCACTATTAGATTAATTAGGATATTAGAGGCAAAGGATCATATATATCGTAGTTACTGTTTTGATAGTTTTTAATAGTGCAATTGAGACGATATTGTTCAATCAACTTTGTATTATAATTATTGTTATTACTGCAGTCTAAAGAATATGGCTTTAATATTAATTTAATATTCCGCCATTCAATAAGCTGCGAAAATTTTTGACGATGTTTAAGATTTTACATTCCACTCGACTAGATTCTCATCTTGATAAGATTGTTATATATACATTTATTGTTACATTTATTATAATCGGCGAACAGCGCCGCGTGTTGTCGCATTCTTATACAAAGGCATTGTCCACCGATTGTAAACACATTGCGTATCGTTAAAAAATATTAAATGACTTATTATATTCGTGTATCTGACAATATTTATCAGCGCAGTTACAAAAAAAACAAACGCAAAAATGATTATAGCAAACGATTTTCAAGATTGTTTGCATTATATATGATTCATGATTCGCTAGCAAAATTCAATAATCATAAAGGTTGATGTAATCATGCAATAAATTAATACTTAATTTATTTCAAAAGAAATGAGAGAAATAGAGAAAAAACATTTCTCCACAAAAAAATTATTTACACAATAAAGACAATTTGAGAGAAATAGAGAAAAAACATTTCTCTACAAAAAAATTATTTACACAATAAAGACAATTTGCCACGTTGCAAACTTGGACTCCCTCATATGATAAGTTTAATACTCAAAACTTAATACTAAAAAATTAATAGTAAAAAGTCTCAAAATAATTCAAATAATTTTTCTTTCGCATTCAGTTATTTGTTCAGATTGAACCAACCGTGCAAACATTTAGGTACCGGTCCCGGTGTGTCGAAAGTAGCTCTTGCGATTTCTGTAAATGTCACAGCATCCAAGATCAATAAACCGATTCGTGTTTCTTTATCCGCCCACACGATCGAGCTCACAATCACCCCATCATCCTCGTTCTAAAAGAGCAAGAGAAAAGTAATTTGAATCCTTTCTTATTTACTTTTCCCAAAAAAATGATGCTCAATTGATACCTTTCCATTAGGATCTGGTACGAAAATTGGTTCACTTGGGTAAACACCATCTTGCTGCCACAGTTTCTTGGTCTTTTGGAATGTGTCGACCTTGATGAGCTACGAATAAAATTTAATTTTATTAATGCAGTAAAATGCTATCAATATCTTGTCGTACTAAATTACATAATAAGAGCGTAGACTTGCAACTCCTTATCGAACGCGCGATATACTTTGGCTCATGTACCGACCGTTCCAGGATTGTTAAGATCCATATCGCAGGAAATTGCGTAGAAGTATCGATACTCCTTGCCAAGATGAAAATCCGTGTTTATTCGCGGAGTCTCGCAACCGACATCACAGAGAAGCTCTGGCTTCACGAAGATTCTGCCGTCGAGAAGTCGATGAGCGGCCGGCTTTTTCTGCAGAACGCTTCTGTGTTCGTCTCGCCAAAACTTAGCTTCACTGTTGTATTCAACGTTGTCTTCGTTGCCATTGACGTCATAGTTCGACTTATGATTGATAGACTCGCCGTTGACATCTCGGAACTCCGTGCTCTGATGCATCGTTTCATTCGTAATAAGATTGTCCGATAGCGTGTCCGAGTTCGGTTTTCTCATCGGAAGTACGAAACGTAGTGGCCTGGCGCGGAACAATTTTGAGAAATTGGCGTTCCCATGCATATCCTGTACATTAATGTAAATATTCATTAGAATTATCAGTTACGTGTATACAGTTAAAGTATTTTTGCTGCGCGAATCTCATACTTTCATCGCATCAAAGTACATGTACTGCAACATCTTTGGGTTCCGATAACAGCATATATCCAGCACAATATACTCTTTATCACGAGTTTCGAATTGATTGATGATGTGGAGGTAGAAAAACGTCTCCGCAACGAACGTCTTTACAACTTGACTCGTTTTCCTCGAGATTACGTGGATGAGAGTCTGATATGACAGAAACATCAGATACCTTAACATACTAATAATGATTTAACACACATAACTATCTGATTTCATCGATGGATACATACACCTTTGTTTTCGTGCCACTTGAAGGAATTCATCATAGGTTCTTGTTTGAAATGATTCTTTGTCATCTGGACGATCGAAATCGATAGTGGCTGTTCCACTATGATAAAGAAATTCTCCGTGATGCCAAAGGTGTGCATATATGACGGATTTAGCAACCACCTGCATGGTATACTGGCCACAATTGTCGCTTGATCGAACATGGAGAGTTCTTTTTCTTTTCCGGAATTATCTAAGATAATCGCACTTGAATTGATTAAAGTATATAATTTAAATATTTTGGATAAATATTAAATGTTAGAATTTTTATGTTTTAAGTATTTTAATATGGTCTAAAATATATTATTCTATTTCAAAACTTGTAAAAGCTCGAGAAAATTAATCTATTTTTTTCCATTGTAAAATTAATTACGTGGCCGATAATACCGTAAACCTTTTAGTTTCTTCTTTCAAAAATTTTTTTTTATATTATATGACTGAAAGAATGTACTAAATTTTAATAAATAAATTTTAATAAATATCTGCTGAATAGTACCAATTGAATAATATCAACTAAATATTTACTAAATGTAAACATATGTTTATTTGATACAAGAACATTAATTTAATTTAAATATCTTTTTTTATCGAATAAATATTTATTTATTACAAGTAAATGTTTAATTAGTTATTATATGATAACAAACATTTATTAAAACTTAGTAAATTTTTTTTCAGTGATAAAAAATCTTACCAACGGTTACGCAATTGGGATAAAAACATACAACGCTGTATCGAGGTCCCATCGATGTTACACTCAATCCTACGTTATAAATCGTACCATCGGCCATAACGTGAGGATGCGAGGTATGATTTACGATGTTAACGTATTTCGACATGTTTACCTGCAAAACACGAACGGAAAAAAATAGTTTTTGCAACTAGAGAACTTATTATGAACTTTCACTACAAATTAATATTAGAAACTGAAATATTACAAACTTAAATTGAATATTTAAATTTAAAATAAAGGAGAGCGTTTACCCTGCCCATTGTCTCTAAATTCTTTGGATCAATTCTGTGCATCACTGGCGCTTCCGTGAACGTATAATATTCATCACCGAATGGATATATCGAAATCATGGAATTGTCCGATAGTGTTTTGTTTGGATTGAACACCGCAGCCACTCTGAAAAATCATTTTAAAAATAATTTAAAATAGAGAGACAACTTGCAAGACTTCAAAGCAATGCAACGTATATAATTTGTCAACGTATATAATTTGTCTACACTTATCAAATATATTATATATAATTTTCTACCTATTACCCAAGAAATACACAAAACTTAACAAAAAATCAAAATTACTTTATTTTGATTCTTAACGTCAAATTGTAACAAAAAATTATCTTTTGACTTTTACAACGTCAAAATAAAAAAAAATCATTTTGAATTCAAACCTTTCATAATTTAATTATAAATTCATAATTTAATTCATAATTTCATAATTTATTTCATAATATTCATAATTTAATTCAAACATTCAAATCTTTCTCTCGATTTCCTTAAATAATTGTGAAAAGTATATTTCACTTAAAATTATCTTCATTTCAAGATTATCTTTATTGTTTCGCTCTTGTTTACCTGTGGAATATAGTCTGACAGGGATCCGGTGTCGCGTTAGTTCCGAACTCGTTGTAAACTATTCTCTGGGCTGCCATGTTCCTTTTGTACACTTCGGTCTGGATGAATCGCCTCTGGTAAGTAACCTCACCGTCCGCGATATCGAATCTGCGCAATATTTATGTCAATGAAGTTCTCTAGCTTTTATTTTAATATAAAACATACTTGTGTAACAAAGCCGAGCTGTCGAAGAGATGCTGATAACGATATTTGCCCACTTTTAGATTGCCCGGACCGTTTCGCAGCAGGGTGCCTTTTAGCCATTTCGGGATGGTGCCGATGATTTTGCTCGATCGTAAGGGCTCAATCACTTCTTTCTCGCAGCTCCTCATCCACACCGAAGCATCGCAGTTAGCGTAATAATAATTTCCTTTCGCATCAACAGGTACTTTATTTTCATTTTCGTCATGCTGTAGATGAAATAATATCGCAAATTAATTTTGAATAAATTATTTTTTATATTGCGCGAGATGTTATATTTACTATTATCTATGACACTATCAAACAAAGGATTATATCAGGAGACTTACATAAAATTCTGATTTCAACTTTCCGCATTTTGCGTGCTCGAAATTATCTAGCACATTTGATGTGTGAAATAATTTGTCATTGAATAATGTTATGAGATAATTAATGTACTCCATTTATAACTCTTTTTCTTTTTTTTCGTGGAGATCGATTCTAATTATATTTAATATAATTAAAACGATCAATTTATGTAATAGTTTTTCTGAACTTTATTTTATATGAAACTCGATCACTTTTTTAGAACGACATATTTATTATTTATTTAGAAACTTTCGATTTGGCTTAATAATCTCATATCTTTCATGCAGAGAGATACTTAAATATCCAATACTGAACGTTTGAAAATTAACTACAGTAAACATTTATAATCGCTTCACCAAAGTTATAACTTTGACACAATTTTTCTTGTATAAACAAAAATATTAAATTATGCGTCTTCTCGCTCCTCCTCTTCCTGCTCGATGTTATCTTCAATCGTCGATTCCAATACGAGTGGTCTCAAAATCGATGAAAGTATCTGATGCACCCTTATGTGGGTGAAATCCATCATTCGCGGTGTACGTTCTGACGACAAATGACGT